ACACACTCGTTGTGCAAATTTCGCATACGTACGTTAATAAAGCTCTTATCCCACTTATATTGTAAATAACTATTACGATGTTCTTCAACATGCTTTAAATCATAACGTTCAGCAAGAACTAGATTTCTGCCTTTGATTAAGGTATATAGCTGGAATGCAATTTTGTTACTTATTGATGAAAAACCAGTTTTAATAATTAATTATATGTGTTCCTTCGAACCAAAAATGACGAAATTAAAAATTACACTCACAAATATAAAGTTTCGGAAATACCTCAAGCTCATTCGTTTCTTTATTGTTTAAATTAAAATGGACGAAACAAAAATTTACTAGATTTTGGCACGTAGTTGATTCATTACATCATGAATTTGTCAATTTGTTAAAAATTTGTATATTTTGATATTTCAAAAGTATTCAACAAAATGGTGAAACGATTTATTGATCAATCAAAAACATTAATCCTAACCGTAGTTTCCTATTTTAAGAGACACAAATCGCCAAAATTCTTGGACCCCCTTCGTAAATATTAGAACGAAATATTTATCATGGCTGCTTTTTCGTACGTTTAATCTTTATTTGATTCACCGTTGATACGTATCTAAAAATCTTTACAAAAACAATTTCCCACAATTTTAGGTACCAATATTTAAAAAGTGGTTCACATCGATTTTGCGTGTTTAAGCGATTGTTGAGTTTTTCTTTACAGCTATGCCTGGCAATAGAATTTCAGTGTCCAATAGAGCAAGAATAGTGACTTTACATGATAACGGTCCACCGAATCATCGAATCGCAGATAGACTAGGGATTCTCCACGCTTCAGTTATCTGAATAGAGCGTTTGCACCAGGAAACTAAGAGCGTTGACTGGAGACGTGGGACTAGGCGTCCTAGGGTAACTAATCCAAGAGAAGATCGGTATGTAGCAGGTTATGTACGTCGGAATCGAACCGTAACAGTCTCAGCTGTCCGAACTCATTTTAGAAGAACGTATGGTCTATTCATTTCCAGTACCACAATAGGGCGGAGACTTGCTGAAGACAATTAACGATCTCGGAAACCATTAAGAGTATCCAGGTTACTTCCCAGATATACAGCTGCTCGTCTACAGTGGGCACAGAAACACAGAGACTGACTTTTAGCTCGCTGGCGAAATGTTCTTTTTTCAGACGAAAGCAGATATGATTAAATTAGTAATAGTCAGCGACACAGAGTTTGAAGAAGGTCAAGGCGACCAGAAAGATTATCTTTTGCCAGAGAAGTCGTTCCATACCAAGTAGAAACAGTAAAGTTTTGGGGAGGCATAATGCATGGTCGTCGTAGGCAGCTTATTTCCACTCCAGACACTATGACAGCAAATAGATATGTTCGAAAAATTATTGATTAGGTAATAAAGAGTACATCGAGCACACGTAGTAATCTGTACCAATTATCTATAGGCCGCCATTATTTTGGTGCTTAACATTTCGGTGACACCAAAGTATTTTTTCGTGTTTTTTTCTGATTTTTGAATTAAACTACATTTAATAATTGGTTTATTACAATGGTTTATTATGTGACATATCAGTGTAAAAGTTATAGTGGCAAGAAAGAAGCAGATATTACGTTTTACAGGTAAATGATAAACATCAATCGTTTTTACTTATATTTGGTGGTATACAACTTGGTATTTACATATTGTACACGTCTCACTCCAGAGTAATACATTTTACGCACCAAGTTCGTTTATTTAATGCTTTTCATTGATATTTAAGCAATAGATGATATTAAAATGGCCAAACAAATAATTTTTTCCAGTAGCGTGTCGTACAATTCTAAATATTAACTTTTTTAAATTCTAATTTACTTTTGCTTTTTATTTAATTGCAGCAATGTTTATTTGTTGTTTTATTTTAGATTTCCTGTGGATCCAGCAAAAATATCTTTGGACTCGGACAACGAAAATTGCAAATTGGATACCTACGCCAAATGATAGATTGTGTTCAAAACATTTTGAAAAACATTTATTTTTGTGAGACGAACTGTAAAAGACGTTTATTAAATAGATCAGTTCCTACTATATTTTCTGAATTTTCTAAATACATGCAGCCGAAGAATGTGCGTATACTAATAAACATAATTAATTACTTTTCATTATTATGTTATGCACTTTTAAGAATTTAGCAACCCTTTTGTGTATAATTTAAACATTACCGTAATAATTGATTGTTTGTAGGACTTACAAAGAAGAGCATTGCATTTGGAAGCTGAGCCAGGCCCTTCAAATAGAACTGCAAATAAGGAATCTATCCTAAAAAGCCCTAGCATAAAACGACTAAGAAGACAACAGGTAGAAAAGAATAAAGAAAAAACAAGACAAATCAAAGTTCTTAAACAAAAACTTAAAAGATGTAAAAGAAGAGTTATTTTGCTAAAACTTCTTGTTATTATACCAAATTAGTATTACTTAAGGGGATCAGTAATGAATTTATCTTCATTTATGTATAATTTTTCCTACTAGCTTAATTTAATAATACCTAGATAGTACACTACATCTTAAAGTCGTCCAGTTCATGTCTTACTTTCGTTCAAACATCCTGGTACGTAAAACGTCTTTGTTGGGATGTTTTTAGGACTTTTAAATATGTCGGTAATGTGGAAGTTCAACTCTTTTCGCTATATTTGAATATGGCGCCACGACACCGTTCTTGGTGCTGCCTACAGCGCGCACGTATGATCTTGTCATTGTCTGATTTCATATATAATATTTTTGCGCCAGTCTGTGGACATTGTCATTACTTTTTCGTGGTTGTGTGTTTTTATATATTGTCTTTTTATAATATTTATTCGCCAATATTGGAACTGTGGTATACCGAAACTAGTAAACTTTATCGTTAAAAACAGTAAGTTTTAATTTATTCGCCATTTAATTTCGTAACCTCACTTTAATAATGTCTTATTTTTTAGAAAAACACCTTAAACAATAATTCAACAAAATTATATGCTATGGGGACATTAGTTATAGATGCTTTGGCTAAAATTAATACCATAGAAGAAGTTTTTAAATCGACCAAACTGGAAAAAAGTAGTATTTCCGGGAATCGTTTCTCATAGCAACAAGTACTTAAACTCATTTTTTAATTATTTTATCCAACACTGTAAAATATTATTTACTCTATGTGTCAGTTTTAATAGTTTATTAATGTATAATAAACAGTATTAGATATAGTAGACAAGTATTCATTAATTTTTAAAAAAGAATTTCCATCAAGTAAATAGCGGCTTAAACACGTCCAATACGATTTGTCTTAAAGACATACAAAACTGGATGTCTTAAAGATGTACAAAATTGGATGTCCTAAAGACGCATTGTTTTGTAATAATGTAGGTCCCATAGACGCCTTTAAAACCTATTTTGGATACTAGCGTAAATCTTCAAAACATCAAGAACGTCGTGAACAAACGTCTTTAAGATTTCTTTAAAACGTGTCTGTGCTATCTGGGTAGTGCCATTCTTTATTGACTAAAAATAAATCTTTTTGTATTACATGTAGATCATTATGTTTTATTTTGCGGAATTTTAAAAAAACACTCATTTTATAATGTAAACGATTTCATTCAGTTTATTTCAATATTTTTTTTCTTGTGTCTTATTTATTGTTACTTATTTATTTTAAATTTTACGCTTTGAACTTGCTTTATACCTAAAAAGATCAATAAAGTACTAATAACATAAATACAAGTTCGTTTTTTTATTTCCAACTTGTTACGCCTTTGGTCGAATATCGTTGGTGTCAGAATGGAACAAGATTTTCAGCGGCGTTATGAGTCTAAGGAAGAAGGTGAGAAGTTAACCTCACATTCCTAGGAATATAACGACACGTTGCAAGGTTGCTTTAAGATGGAGTTAACTTTTACTTTCTGCTTGATTGTTACAATGTTGATGTCTCTGTTGCAATGACACAGGATGTTTTTCCTGGAACGTCATAATATTTCCCATTGGTATTTACTCGTTGGTCTTCTGGTCCCCATTTTAGAAGACCTTACTAACCAGGCACAGACTAACTGAGGAACAGCTGACTCGCCATCAAATTATGGGGACAAGCCGAGCACTCACATATCAGTGACACAAACAGAATATACACACCAATCGAATGTTATACATAAAGTAGACGTACAGAGTTAAACTTCACGCAGCTGGAGAGGCCCCGCGAGATTAATGTATATACACATTCTCGCTATACTTAAGCTGTTATCTCTGTAGTCTCATCGTGGATGGATGACTGTTGGACGTTCCACCATTGTCCGTGTCACCGTCACCATGGGCAGGACCTTCAAATGGTGGTATAATAAATCGCAGCAGTGCCGTCAGGCTAAAGACGAATTAGTGTGATAGCACGGGGGACCCTAAAAGAATCTCCACGCAGTTTCTGTTAAATGATCATAGTATGTCAACTTTCATGACATTTTAGAAAGTCTGGCAAATATATCAATTGCTTTGATTTTTGAGGACGTTTGAGGATCCTTCAGAGAAGTAAGCAGGGAAGATAGTTGGTAAGTCTAATAGGATCTGATTCTAGGATAACAGGATAGAAATTTACTCCATTTGGTTCTTATTAAATGTGTATGTGCGTGTGTGGGTCCAAAAGTGAGCCAAGTAGCTCGAAGTTCGACACATTACTGAGATATATTTCTAAGAAGTAACTAATTCTAAAATGAAAATTTGGAATCAGATATACTGCTAATCTCATCCTTTTTCAATAGCTTTTATTAGTAGCTGAAAAACAAGACAATTATGTTTGATTTTGATAAAAGTAAAAAAAATATTCATACATTGAAAACAATCAAATTGATAAAATAATTTCAATATATTGTCTTCATCTGCATAACTTTCCAAATAAATATTAATCATATTTATTTATTCATAAATACAACAAGGAGAATATAATAAAAATAAATATTTATCCATCAGTTGAAACGCATATAAATATCTGAAAACATGCAGAACAAAGTACCTTTTGAAAGCAAAAATGTACGCGTTAAAATTTTTAGTTGTATTATCTTTTTGTTATGTAGCCGCAGGGTTCCAATTTTTAGGAGGAATATTGATTTATCCTGGTAAGTCTATCAAACTATTTTATTATTAGAAATATAAATGGTAAGCCTATCAAACTATTTTGTTAGATGAAATAGAAATTTTGTAGATTCATAATTGCCGAATCAATTAAAAAAATTCTAAAAAACCATGTCGTGGGTTCGAATCCCACCTGGAACGGAATAAATTAAATTTTTAATTTTTCAGTTTAAAAGTTTATTCCTAATTTTTCCTTTAGTATTATTGGTGTCAACTTCAATATTATTATCATCAGCATGATGGATATTTTAATATCAATTTTCTGGGACAAATTATTCCTCGTGTGCCTTTTTTATTCGATCTGACTTTGCTTGCCAGACCGGTAGTCCATTCACGAAATAAAGGGTGTACAACGGGCATTGAATACCAGGATACAAGGCAAGAGACTAGTGGGGAAAGTGATGGAAAGACATACTAGATGAGGGAGATCGCAAACCATTCAGTATTAGAAGCTGAAGGACAGCACAGACAGGAATCGAAAAAGTTAAAGAAGATCAAAGTCATTTTGTCGTCAAGGGAACAATGTTTTTTGCCTAATAAACGAGTATAGCAGGACCTACAACTTGTTGACAGTGATCTATAGACAGGAAATGCATCTTACTTTATTACTTTATCTATGTTTCATCAAAATAGTGGAATGTATAGACAGAATGCATGACTTTAATTAATAGGCTCGTGAGGCTGCAGTGCCGCCGTAATAATTCTAGAGGAGGAAAGGCAGACTGTACCCAAGCTTAACTGGGATGAGATAGAGGCTGGAATATTAGCCTGATTCGGAGTAGCTTGCCGGAACTTCTCAGGGTGGAGCAGAGGTATTCCTGAAAGGGCAAAGAAAAATATTCATTAAATTTTTGGAATGAATCTTCGGTTTCCATTTTAAAAAATATACCACAGATATGTTACCTGTATCTTACCTGTCTATAAAGTTTTCGTCAACTTTTCTTCGTTCTTTATCCTCACCTTGTCATAGTAGAATATATTTTGCAAATCATATTGGTTGGGTTCCTTATGTGCCATGTCTATTTTAGTGTTCGTGCTTTTATATACAGTTATTATTTTTAGGAACAAAATGGTGCGGACCTGGAAATAAAGCCGCCAATGACAATGATTTCGGTACCGAGATTGGTACCGATAAATGCTGCCAGGCACACGATGGATGTCCAGATGTTATGGCAGGTTTCCACTCAAAGTACAATTTATTCAATCCAAATTTTTATACGAGGTAAATTATAAAAACCTATTTTTTAAATATATGTTTTGTATGTATGCATAAAGTTTTTTAATTTTTTTTTTGTTACAATATTTTAGGCTGAACTGTAATTGCGACACACAATTCTACAGCTGTTTGAAGAATGTAAATACTAAAGCTTCAAATGAAATTGGACGTATATACTTTAACGACATACACACCAAGTGCTTTAGTGGACAAGGAAATTCATATGAGTGGGACGATGAACAACATTATTAAATATTTCCGAAATATATGTATTTTGCTTTAAAAGTCTTGTTTTCTTTTACAATATTATATCTGTACTTTAGTATCAAAAATATGATTCGCCGTTAACACGTTGCTCGCTGAGCGTGTTTTAGTGGTCAAGGAGAGTCTTTTATGTGGGTAGATAAACAACAATGTTTCTAAAATAATTGTATTTTTGGAGAAAAAACGCCTGTTGCGATATTATTTAAGGGAGTACTTGTTTTCAGGAGGGAAAGGGTCGCTCTTGTCCTTCTATTTTAAATGTATTTTTTTTAAATATATTGTTTTATTTTTACATTTTTAAATAGTAGTATATTATTTAAAGAGCTATTATTACTAAAGTCGTACTTGCTGCTCAGAGGGTACCATAAATCTAGCCAAAGGGCATCTAATAATACAACTATAACATTTAAATTACCGGTTTAATAGAAATATAATTCTTGAATCATACGATTTTAGCTTACAATATTACAAAATAAATAAACTTGTTTCAAGAAGAGTTGTTGCTCATCTTATATTTCTTTACAAACTCATAAACAACAAAATTGACTCTGTGTGTGTATACACTAGAAAACTTAAACTTTTACGCGAAAAATCACACATCTCGCTTAACTAATCTTTTTTTTATTATAACTCAGCGTTAACAAACTATTGTAACAACTCTCCGGTAACCTTCAGACGATGTGAAATAAAAAGATGGCTTTCTTTTATTTTACAAATTTTTAAACTGTATTCGTCCCTACAATTTTTACACTGCTTCTGAAGATGGAAAAATTTGTACTTTCCGAAACATATGTTGTGCTAAACAATAAAAATAAAAACAGTTGTCCGATGAAACATAGGAAAATTTTTATTCATATAATATTCTTTTGTCATTTTATTCTTTTTGGTTTCTTGCTTTTTATTTACCAGTGTAATTTATTTTTTATATTTTTCATGTATTTTTTGGATTAAATAAATAACTTTCATTTGCCTAGTATTTTTAATAATTCTATTCAACCTTGGGACACCCAATATAGACGTCACTTTAACGTTACGTAGATTCGTGATAATGACGTTATTTTGCCTAGCCTAGGACACCCGATATACACGTTACTTTAACGTGATATTGATTCGTCAAAATAACTATATGGAATGACGTCATTTCGCTGTGATATTCTTACGTTACCATAACGTTATTTTCACGTCATCAAATGACGTAACACCAAAAAATCACGTCATAATTACGGTATGATGTTGCATGGGATACTTCTTTTACATATATATCCTACTTAATTCAAATTGGGTCTGTTTTATAACAAATGTTAATAATTCTGAACATTTTAAGCGCAGAATCAAAACACTTATGAAGAATTACATTTTGCATACTTCCCAATAAACATCTTACCGCTGGAAAACTAACAGCATAGTAATGTAAGTGACGAGAAAGTGAAGGGATTGGCTAATTGTCGAGCCAAAATTTATTATTTATGGGCAAAACGAGATAAGCTACTGTTGGCCTGATGATGGGAAATAATATATCTCTCATCACTTTTTTTCCACTTCTGACACAAAGCTGGTCAGCTGGCAGCTTGCCTCCTGTGTTTATATGATTCACGCTGTAACCCAAAAAACATGAAAAATAGTGAAATTGAAAATCGAACGAAACGTTCAGTTTTTATTGCTTGCTTCTTTCTAAGTGTTTTATTTTGTTTGGAGTAAGACCTAAGTGATCGAGATTTACAAGACACACGATTTAAAATTAATGACTTGGAGATATCTGATGAAACGTCTAGGAGAGAAGTGACCAAATCAGATGATCCAGCCTACATGTTCAATGAAATTATTAATATTCTTAAGAGAATTGAAAGTAAGTTGTCTTTGCTTATAAAGCCTTTTATTTCAAATTTTACATTTCAATATTTATTTATTGCAACTTTTTTAAATTTGACACTGCAATTTCTAATGTATTCACTCAATATTTTAAATTGTTCTTGTCCTTTTTAGATTATTCATTGTAAACTAATTAAAAAAAATATTGAACTATATTTAAATATTAAATAAAATTCCTGTATTTTCTCTTTTTTAGTGTTATGCATAAAAAAGTTTAAAGCTTTAAAACACAAGTATATAATATACGAGTACAGAAAATTCTAGTAAAGTTTTTTGATAATTAAAAAACAGATCAGGCATTTATAATTTTAAATTAATTTGAATTGCTTCTAAATTTTCAGCATTTTGTTATCCACATTAAATTAATTAATTTTTTCTTTTTTAGTGCGATTAGTAGGGGAAAAATGTAGCACAAAACACCGTTAGATGACTAGTCATCGAACTATTTACCCATAAGTTTGTCCTGCCCTTAAATTGGTTAGAAAGAAATAACAAATATGAATTCAGATATTTTTGTACCATCTTTAACTAAGAGTTAGTAAATATATATTAAGTTTATTTTTGAAAAAAAAAATTGAATTATATAAATTGTTTGTAATAACTGCCTGGAAAAACATTTTTGTAAGGATATAACCAAGCAGGAGATGGCAGTAATCCTCAAAAACTGGTTGAAAAGTGCGATAGAGAGGAGAGAAGAGAGTAGAAGAAAAATGTTGTATTATCTTGTGTGCATGTTTTCTGTTCCTTTTTTTGTTCTTGTTTTTTAAAATATATGAATTTTGTTTTTTGTTATTTTTGTTATTTTTGTTTTAAGTTTTGTGTACTGGTTTTATTTCGTAATACATTTATATTTCACTCATATAATCTTTGTTAATACTTTATTTTAATTGGAAACTTAGTTTGGGGCTTTTTGGTCTTATTCTGATTACTTGCTAGGGACCCATTAAACAACTGTTGGGTAACCGATCCAGGCCAGCAATTAGCCGTAGTGTACCTATATAACGCTGTTCTGGTCAATGACGCAAGTGTAAAATTATGACATTATTCATTAGTTTCCAAATTAGTCCCTCTATACGGCATAACAAATGCGTACTTTTATATCCACTCGCTTCTGCTAGATGGTAGTTGCATCAGTTTTAAAATATTAACGTTTTCTCTACCACTTTTGGAAAACAATGACACATGAATCAGTTGTGTCTACAACTTTAAGGGAGACGTTCCTTACTCCAAGGTTAAATGTCGTATTTGCTATTTATGTGCCCAAATTTGGAAGTAATAATATTCGTTTTTCGTCTCTCCTGAAAAATTTATAATTTTGCATTTGCGTCATTGTTTTACCGGAACTGCGATAATATGATGGGGCTGGATTGGGAAACTTGTACTGTAATAAACTTTTTTATTTCTTTACGTTCTAACATTTTATTTTTTATATTTATGAGTTGGACTCGAATAAATAATAAAATATCTTTAATAGTACATTAAACTTTTAGGTTGAAAGCACGACAATTTGAGTATTTAAGTAGGGATTTTCCGTTTTCACTTTTAAAGCAGTGTAGGTAATAATAAGTTTTGCTTTGGTAATATTAAACATATTTATTTATTATTAGGTATAAATAATATTGATTGTAGAGAGAAATGATTTTAATACAGAATTTGGTGATATTCATTTTCTTTTATGTAGCTACAGGGTTACAATATTTAGGCGGACATTTTGGCGACGGAATTACTTATCCAGGTAAGACAGTCAAATTTATTTATCACTGTTGTTGATTTAAAATTTTTGTTCCAATTAACATTATATTATAAATATTATAAAATCAAAATTATTTTTTCATTGTGATCTATGGTTTTATTGTTTTGCTATTGAAAATCTATATCCGTTATGGAATATAAAATCGTATTTTATCCTTATCACAAAACTGGTACAATTTATAAGAACTGGTACATACAGGACTAAATAATATTGTTGAAGTCATCTTTGTCCAATACTGGCGTAGAATCAACTCGCATACAAAGCTACAATAAAGTTTTATAACTAAAACAACCATGTATAATGGGCTAAGTTACTGACATTAAACAGCTCGCCTTTCTGAGTACCCACAGGAATCATGCCTCCCACACCGACAACAGAAATTCAGGTTTGTTATTCACAGGCTTATGCAGAGATAAAACCTAATAAGCCAAATATATAGCTTTGATTATATAAAACTATACTAGCCAGTAAAAAAACAATATGATTCTAGGAATTCCTACTGATATAGCCACAACCAATTATTACAAATTAAAAATAGATATACCAGCCTGAAATTCCCAATAACAGATTTCCCCCATACAGACTAAACTAGTCTGGTTTACAGATAGTTCAAAAACCTATTAAGAAGCCGGTGCTTGAATCTTTGAAGATTATATAACGACTTTCCAGGCTAAATTAACAGCAATACAAAACTGTGACAGAGAAATAAATCAGCAAATATCAGTTCAAGCAGTTCTTAATGTAATTCTCTCATCAGAAATCAAATGACAACCGTATACGAAATTTACGAAAAATCTACGGTTCAATTTCTGTAAAGAAGAAAAAGAAGAAGGAGAATTTTCCTTAAATTTTAATCCAATAATATATTATATCGCTCCTACTATACTTACTAAAATATAAAAAAGACTACAAAATAACGGGTTCTTTCAAGAAATTTTGAAATATTAAAATATCATTCAAAGCCAAATTGGTTTTTGAAACTTTCACTTATACCAATTTTGACAGTAATAAATTATTGATTGCTTTCCAATATGGCTTTAGGAGGATAAAGTAAATAAGTATTGCTAAATTGACATCTATCCGCAAACTGGAACAAATTCAAAGAGCAACATGTCTCAACATAACAGAAGCCATGAAAACCACACCGACCAGAGCCATGGAAGTAATTTTTAGTCTCACTCCCCTTGATATTTACATCAAGAAGATTGCTCTGATGAAAATAACATGCTGCACGACTGAAGTAGAACCTGATCTAGGAAGCGAGACGTAGCTTTTGGTAGGAGGCGCTCGATACGCTCCCACAGCTTCAAGCGAACATGGACTCTATCTCACGGAGATATATCTTCCATATGCCATATAAAGTTATAACAGAACAAATAGAAGAGCTGGAAGTAGCCGGTAAGATTTATATATACACCAACGGTACTAAAACTAAACAAGACTCGGATGTGGAATATTCTCCAGATCCATAAACATAAATATAAAATGTATGTACAGCAGTGATGGCCTGGTTAAGGATTGAGTGAGTGACCGAACTTGCTCAGCCCGGGGCCTACTTAGACCGTAAAATGGATGGAATAATGCATAAGCTGAATGAATAAGGAGTAAGGCATCCTAATGATAACACAATAAATCATCTGAGATTCTGGGTCGCCATGCGATCCCCAGAGAAAAAAAGCAGGCTGGACCCCAAGCCTGATTAAGAGGAGCCAGTGGTTGAACAGAAGCCTACTTGGAGGATCTGGAGAAACGCCTCAGGGGGAGCAGATGGATGCCTGAAAGAATGAACAGAAATAGATCTGTAAGCTATGTCGTTTTTTCTTTAAATATGTAACTTATTTTTTGTTCGAAAGTACCACATTTATTTTCCAACATTTGTGATATCTACGTATTATTTTTCTTCTAGAACTAATTAAACATTTTAATTGTGATAATTTTTTTCTTTCTATTTTTAGGAACAAAATGGTGCGGAATAGGAAACATTGCATCCGATGATAACGATTTTGGTACCGAAATTGAAGCCGATAAATGCTGCCAAACTCACAGTAACTGTCCAGATTATATAGAGGGTTTTCAAACAAAGTATAATTTGACAAATCCGTTACCTTATTCGAGGTAAATTGTAAAAAACAGAGTTAGGTCGCATACAGGAAAGAACTAGTCTAGCACCCTATACGAATACTTTTTAAAAAGTACGGATACATTTACCTGTTTTTATACATTGTTTACGAGGTAAATTGTAAAAACCATAGTTAATTTAGATACAAGAAAAAAGTTTTCGAGTACCGCACAAGGATACTTACAATGTATCTGGATACTATTTGAAAAGTATGGATACATTCACCGGTTTTTATACCAATAGTCAATGGATTTGTTGCAGTTTAAACAGAACCGTCGATTAGTTCTTAAATACAGTTGATCAATTAATTTTTTAATAACACATCGCGATGTTATAACAACCTCTTGGCCGATCATGTAATTCAGTGATTCTAAACTAGTTTGCAGAATAACCAAAAAAGTTTATAATATATACATATAATATAAAGAGAGTAACAATACTAGACATAGGTATGTAGAGAGATGAAAAGATCAAATATTTAGTCTTGATTATCTAAAATCAATATCTTGTCACGTCAAATCCAAGAAAGGGGTTATTTTTTGGTTGATTATCTTTGGATGGACCATTAAATCTCCTGGTTTAATCATATACCTAAAAAATTAACACCTCTAACAGGACAGAGAAATATGTTTTATATTAATGAAGCATTCTAAAGTTAGTAGCAAGAAAATGAAAAGGATGCAAGAAAACCAGAACGAGTAGTAGTAATATCTAAAGTGATCTATTTTTGTTGATTCTTTTTTTCTTAAGTTCTGTATTTGTAAGGTGGGAAAGGCGGGTTGCTCCACATCACCTAGATCTCTCTGGGTTTATTGTATATTTTCCAGGGCCATATAGGACTTGCCTCTTAACTTGTGAAATACCTTTTCGTTGTAAATGAAAGGTGTTTAAAGAGTTATTTTCCTAGCTCAATAAAGTCCTGCAGGTTATCAGCTCGTAAAAACCTGCTAATATTTGCTCATAGATGTCTAGAGACACTCTTCTTAGCTCATCAAAGTGCTGCAGGTAATCAACTCATCAAACATTTGCTTTTTGTCGCTGGGAGTTTTTATTGGGATATCCAGCTTCTCAGGTCAAAGTTTTGGAGGTTAATAACGTCGCCAAGCGGTGGCTCTAGACCCCTCCATTTATGGAAGTGGCCATTTGGTGGGCTTCTATCACCCCAATTGTAAATGCATGGGTGGAGCTTTTCTTTCCGCCCTCTCCAAGTTATAATGCAGTTGAAAGTAACATAATGGCAATATTGCTATCCCGCGTGACGTCTATCCTACCACAAAGTTTTACACGAAGAACGGTCGATCGGATACACTTTTGCCAATTGTATTCTTTTAAGCTAAACCCGCATAGATAGGAAAAAATTAATATTTAGGATAAATAATGCTTGGTAAGAGTACATTTTGTTTATTTTGACATTACATTTTAGTGTGCTCTGCAAGTGCGATAAAGAGTTAAACAAATGTTTGAAGGAAGCAGATACGGAGGCTTCGAATGACATTGGAGATTTTTTCTTTAACAAATTCATATCGCAGTGCTTTTCAAAACAAGGAGACTTATATCATTGGGAAGATAAACCAAAGTTTTAAATAATTCAATATATGTTTGAAATATAAAACATATTTAATAAAATTTATGAATGATCTTTTTGTTTTTTCTTTCCTGACTAATTATAGGAAAACTTAATTGAAATATTAGTTTAAATATACGAATTTACTCAGAGTTAGCATAGGAATGTTACCAAAACTTAGTAGAATTATCCAATAATAATGTGGTGATCTTAAGGAAGGTAACCAACTATCTTGCTTATTCAGTAGACAAGAAAACAGACAACGAAATGTATTTTAAACCTGACCCTTACACTGGACTAACTACTTGGATCCTGACAAAAAAATAAAAAACAATCCCTTGTAAAATTAAAGGAAAAGGGAGATTCTACAAGATGCTGCAGAGTTGCTTGGAAACTATTAGGTTACCCTGAAAACAACAACAAACAAATACTTGATTATGACCAGACAAAACCTGGTGCATATTAATGAAATTCTGACTGGTCATTATCAATTACGGAATAATTTAATAGCATGGGGCTGTCATACTCTTCACTGTACAGGTGGTGTGAATAAGAATATGAAATTACATTCCTCTCAGGCCGAGGTATACGTAATTTTGCAATGTGCAAAAACAAATAATGAAAGAGCTGTCGAAAATCAGCATGTTCAAATATTGTCAGACAACCAAGCGGCACTTAAGGCCATATCGAGTCAGAAAGTTACGTCGAGGCTGGTATGGGAATGCATCGAAGAACTAAGAACACTGGCAGACCGAAATAGAGTAAAACTATTTTGGGAGCCAGATCACCAAGGGATCGAAGGCAACGAAAAGACTGACGAACTTGCAAAAAGAAGGTCAGAAGAAACACCGGAACCAGACACAAACCCAGGAGTACCAAAAAGTACAGTCCGGGGTTTCATAAACGACTGGATTCGGGAACAAAATATCAACTATTGGGACAGCCCCAAAAAAAGGCACATACAAAAGCCTTCATAGGCAGACCATGTCCCAAAAGAACTGGAAAACTACTCTTTATGAATAGGAACCAGTTGAAAGTGATAACAGGGTTCATGACTAAGCACGCCACAGTAAAGGGACACTCAAACAAAATTAGCATGTACAATGGGAAACTCAAGTGCCGACTATGTCACAAGAAACCAGAAACGGCCAAACACATACTGTGCGAATGCGAAGCTCTAGATTGCAAAAGACAAGCTTTTTTTGGACAACCCCAGGTTGATCCAACAACGTATAGAACCCACTCTCCCAAGGATCTGTACAAACTTGTACAAGGTACAAAGGTGCTATGAACTAATATGGGGTAAAACACAATAAACCAATAGGCTTCAGTGTTATTCGGAGACATAGTCAGACGAGCCCAGGAGAGAGAAAAAAATGCTAATGTTATTAAATAAAGAATGAATCACAAGAAGAAAATTAAAATAAATTTGAATAAAAACATGAAATGTTCAATCAGTAGTTAAGTGTTCAAAATGCTTTCGTTTTTATGAATACACAATTCTATCCTTTATTGCTAGAGAATTCATTAATTTTCTAAACGGTTGAGGATCAGCTATGAGGTTATTAAAGTGATGTTCAATTCTGTCTTGCAAGTTTTCTCGTGAATTTACCTCTGTAGCATAGACTTTTTCCTTAACAAACGACCAAACTGTGTAGCCCAAAGGATTTAAATCGCATAAACTTGGAGGCCAATGAATCCGAGCTTCTTAACCTCTACCAATCCATTGATTCGGATAATGGTTACTTAATCAATTACAACTTCTATCAAAGTGCGAATAAATGATTTTCTAAAAACTAGAGGTACCTATTATCATTTAGATTTCCAGGTAGAATGTGATAATTAATTTGTTACCTAAAGTTACTGCACACAGATTAACACCAGTGTATTATGAGATTTGAAAATTCCTTGTCGCCTGAATAACCGATTAGTACCGACTTCGAAGGGACCGCGCACATGGGCGTACCAATGGTATTGTTAAAATTAAGTAAATTAAATTAATAATTATGTATAGTTCTTCCATTAAACTCGTTCCGAACTCTTACCGACAATTTTGTTTGATCTGCCACAGGCGTAGATACCTCATTTTAAAAATTTAATATTTTTATAAATACGAGAAAGTATTCGTTAAAAGGCGATCGAATGATTATAAATTGGACGGCGTTTTACCCGTTATTTAGATAGATGCACTTAATTGTAGTCCTACTTGAAACTTTAAAAAATTATTATTACAGCACGTTAATTTGCTACAACTGAATATCAAATTATAAAACGTAAATAGACGAGTAAAATGTACCTGCCTGTAAGGGCGTTTGGTTCAAACAGGGTACCAGACGTAATTTTCCTTTTATTAACAATTTTTATTTTGTTCCCATCTCTTACTTTTTCCCATATTATTTTATCAATTACTTTTTTATTATTTTTATTTTTCCTTTGGTTTTTAATAATTCTTGTTCCCATTTTATTTCCTTTTATTATCATTTCAATTTCATTTTTCTCATGTAAATCTATTATTTTCATTTTCATTAATTTCCTCCCTATTTCTGCACGTTCTCGTATTTTAGTTTCATTTTTCTTACATTTTATTTGGATATTTTCTGTTGTGCAATCTATTGTCTTTTATATTTGGTACTGTTTGTAAAATGTCTTTAATTTCTGTTTCTATCGCTTTATTAATGTCCTGTTTCGGAAACTTTTCTAATTCTGTATTTTAACGTCCTTTTTAATATCTTCTATATCTATTTCTTTTATTTTCTTCTTTGTTTTTTCTTTATCGTCTAAATCTATCTTGAATTCTTCTAATTTCTTAACCATTTCCTTTTTTAACTCTTTCATATCTTCTTTTATATCGTCTATCTTTTGAAAATTTTCCTCCATATTATTCATCTTTCCCATCATCACTCTGATCATTTCCGATACACTCATCTCTTCAATCTTACTATTTTCTTTTCCTATTGTATTTCTTTTTCTCCTTTCTTCTTCGTCTTTCTGCTTCTCTTCATTTTTCCCTTCATTACTTTCATGACTTCTTTTTTTAAGCATTGTTGCTGCCAAATTATGTTCTCCTTTTGCGAAGTATCTCCCTGTCCAACATCTGGTCCAATTTCTTCTGTTTGTCCAAGCTTTTTTCCTCCTCTCAATTCCATCTTTTCCATGATAATAAAGTTTATGTTTTTTGTTATAGTCACCACTATTATCACACCTTACTTTTATTCACATATACTTTTTTTAGCTTTATTGCCCTACGTTGGGCGCCATTTGTAATGATACCGCACTTTATTATTTTTTTTTTTTATTAAAGTATATTTATTTTTTTAATACCTCGGCTTGCCACTTTCTTATAATTTCAACCAAATTTTTTTTTTCAAAACCAATTTAAAAAATATATTTTTAAACACATTAATAATTCTTAAATTAACAAAATACCCCGCTATTTATGTTCATGGGTATTAAAACACCCTATATTACTTAAACTACACTAAATTCATTCGTTCTTCATTCATTCCCAGTATACTATATACTAAATTTAAATTCTACAAAAAAAAAAAATAACGACTACTAATGTCTTTTCACACACAACTACTTATTTCTTGAATATATAGTAATTAGTTTATAAAAATTACTCACTCTTGAAAAGTGTCTGTTTCAACAAATAGGTCTTCTACTATCTACGTTTCATCTGTCCTCTCTTGGTTCTTTTATATATGTCTCTCCGGGAACAATTACTAATTTTCTTCTTTAACTACTTTATACTGTACATACCTACATTCAATTACATGGTTATTTAAATTTGCTTATTTTCAATGTTTTACAGATTAGTTTTCCGTATTTTTCAAAAAAAAAAAAAATAATAAAATCTTTCTTTCAAATATCTCTGACATTTTTGTTTTCAAAATCTGACGTTCAACAACCCCAACTTAGAAACCCCCTTTTCCTACCTAATTCCCAAAGTCTTCACTTATGACTTTCTCATACCAATTTTTAATATACAGGGTACATTTTCCCACATTATTTTATTTATTACTGTTCTTATTATTATTGTTATTATTAATATGGGTTATTATTGTTAGTTTTATTATTATATTTTTATATAGGGTGTTTTCATTACAATATATTTGAAATTCGAAATAATGATTATGATGTAGTTGTGTTCTTCTTATTGTAATCGGACTCTTTAGATTTAGTTTTCGGCTTTATGTGTAATAACAATGGCCGCATTCAGCAGAAGCAACCGATTATCAAACGATAACTTAGCGATGACTTATCGATTAGTGAATCTCCTGAATGAACTTTTTAGGCACTTCGACTAGCGACATAAAAGTGAAATGTACTTCAGAAAAAAGTCATCTTCTAAAACATAGGTACAAAATTTAGAATAAAACACCAAATAAATTACTCAACTACATAATTATAAATTAATGTATTTGCCTAATTTTAATGCATTGTGCAACACTTCATTATCAACTACAATATATTTCATATTGTTATAAACATATATCACTTCAAAGTCCTCCATTTCAGTGAAAAATGACACATCCAGTGTAAAAATGAATTAAAATAAACATAAAATAAGGTTATGAGTTATGAGCACCACCACAAAACATTCTCGTTAGTTGGTATGAGTTCTAAATCTAATCACGATGTGATAACTAATCGTATTTCAAATTCGATGTTTTAAATGGCGGCTCATCATTTGATTACTAATCGCTCTTTTATATATCATTCAGCAGAAAATTATAAATCGATTGCTTCTGCTGAATGCGGCCATTATATCTATATCTTAAAGCCAAATAACCAAATAAAAAAAATTTAATAAAAAAAATGTTTTTATTACCCCACAATACTTTATTTAGATCTACATCAGTAATAGTATATTACATTATGAGTGTGTGAAAAATCACTTTGGCACAAGTAATGTACAATATTTTTCTTCAACTACAAAATAATTTAATCAAAAAATGTGAAACTGTAGATGTTATATTAAGATAAATAAAATGTACCTATTTAAAATAAATAAATAACAATATTTTTTCTATTTTCATACTTTTCCAAAATAAAAAAATAAAAAACAGATT